GGCTGAAGCAGGGCTTGTGCCTTTAGCGGGAAATGTGCAATCCTGGAATTTCAAATTCACTTGACTGTTACGCGCGGACACATGAAATTTTACGTTAAAAATTTGTAATTTGGAAGTCAGACAAAACAGAAGGCTAAAATTGTCAAGGGATGTTTTCTCTTCATGTGCGATCCCAAAAACCAAGTTCATGTCTCATGAACACCTACGTTTCACATACGAGTACATAAAGTTTTTAATGGAAAATTCCCCAGCTCGAAAACCAGGAAACATTTCGACTGCTTTTGCACGTGCGGAACTGTAAAGCAGCGAATTTTACTGGACAAAACTCTGCAAAACGCGTAATCGCAACTACTGCAATGTGTGCCGCTGCTTATTTAATGTGTATACGGCAAACATTCATTTTTATTTTAAAATAGTTTTTTTTTTAGTGTTTTTTGATTATTATCTCCCAGTATCTTTTGATTTTTATTTTAAACTAATTCAAAATTCCCAGGACTAATATTTAAAAAGAATTTTTTAAATCATAATTTAACAATATTCGCAAATTAACATTGGCTTTAGTTTAGCAATTTTTTTACCACTCTGATAGCAATTGAATGTCAGCTGCTTGAAAGTATTCTGTTTCAAAAAATATGTTAAAAATGTGCCGGATCAAGATTTGATAATAGCGCTAAAGCCTTAATTTCGAAAATTTGGATAATTTTTCGACACACATATGCAAGCAATTAAATCGCACATCGCACTAGCCGCAAACCATTGCAACAATCCAGTGCTGTAGAGCATGAAGCTTTGAACTCCTTGCGCTTGTTCAGATCTGTGGTTCGCAAATCGTTTGCAATGTGGTCCACGCAAACAATAATCAATTCGATGCCATCTGTAAAGCTCCAATTCGAGGAAGCGGCCTACGAGGGTGACGCCGATATTGTGATACTTTGGGCGGAGGGTGAACACGGCGATGCCTATAAATTTGATGGTACCGGCAATCACACCAACATTCTGGCGCATACATTCTATCCAACCTATCAGGAGGACGGCTATTTAAATGGCGATATTCATCTTGGTTTGCTTATTTGTCGAAAAATACTTATGAAATTGTCGAAGTAGGCTAGACGCATACATTTAGGAAATTTTGTATGAGAGTGGAAAGGAAACAGCAGAATGTGTAAAACTTGTCGTTGAACGAGGTATTTTGGCGCATCTACAACTTAATTGTCCTGTTGATCATTAGTGAAGCATGGCTGAGGGAGTAACATTTACTAATACCGAAGCTAGCTAATAATTCTTCTAGTTATTTATGCGTTTTTGCTATGCAGCGCTGCACAGCACCCAGGCTGAAATGCACCAGGCGAGCCGGTGCGATCATGCGTTTTTGCACCAGACTTGAAATAATTTGGTTAACTGCAT